TTAGAAATAAGTAGGACTTAAAAGCCTACCACAAGAAGACAGAGAATATTAAAAAGCAAATATTTCTGGAGAAATAGCATAATCCGATTCTATGAGCACAAATTCGCATCATCTCCTCTTCAATTACGTGACAATGAAGCAAGAATTTATTTCAAATGATCATGACAATTAACACTCTGCAATTTTATGCGTATTTGTATTTTGATTGGAGTGATGAAGAAAGCATCAAACAGTTCATGTCTGAATTATCTCAAATAATGAGATCTAATAATTAAATTTAAATGTCAAATTTATTTTCTTGGATTTTGCATGTAAAAGGTTAACAAGTGTATATTGTGAGTTCATACACACTCATATTGGCACAATTGAATTAAAGACCAAGTATTATGTGCATGATTCAGCTTGCTCTGGGGCTTGTTTTAGGAACAATATGAAAATAAGAAATCCATAAATATGAGAATTGGAAAGGGGCATACTCCTTTTGGTAGGTTGGAATTTAAATTTTTAGTGTAATTTTTACATGGTGAATCATAATCCAAAACAATATAATGAAGATAAATAGAGGAATTGCTGAAAGTTAACATTAATCTGTGTGATGGCCATGAATCTTATACCCATTTGCGAAAAGCAACAATTCCAACACAATTAACTCATTACATTTGTCAGTGGCTCATATCATATTTTGGGTGAGAATGCTGCAAATGGCAAGCTGTCTAATAAGGGGAGCATATGAGGGATTACCAGTTTGAGATGACACACCACATCTTCAGATCAACCTGAAAGCATTATTTTCTGATGAGTATACTGAAAAGAATTGTATTGTCTGATGTGATAAGTTTTTGTGGTCCAACAGGATGCAACTCATAAGGGAAGAGGGTAGGAAAGAGAAGGTTGATGCATCTTCTGTGCAAAGAGACAACTATGAGCAATTATTCCACCACCAAAAGCATGTTGGAACTCACTTTCAGCAGCTGCTGCAGGCTGAAACAATGAATGCCTTCTGAGCTCCCCAGGCTCCTGGCAACATTGACCACTTAATATGGATCAAGAACGGTTCAAGCAGCTCATTATTAGGTGACAACTTCAAGAGAGATTACTATGCTAGCACAAGAGAATGATGATCTCAATGCCCCTCCACTGCCAAATGGTAAAGATCAAACGTCCTACAGCTGTTCAAGCATTCCTCTTCCTCTTGACCCATTAATGCTCATGAGAACAGCACCTTCTCCCGGGTTGAATCTTAACATCAAGCTTCTAATGCATGTATGTTGTTTTCGGAATCACAAGTTCAACAAGAAGATAAGAAAAGACTGGAATATATTGATTGCATTTACATTTGAGGTTTCTAAGGGAAATGAAACATAGAAGCCAAAATAATCGAGTGATGCGCATATATATGATATGATATGATGATATGCACTTGTCATTGTGAAATTGAAGAGCTTTCTGTTTCTGTTTTCCAAATAGGAAGAAATGTGGTGTGTTTTCACGGCAAGTTGTATTTTCTGAAACAAAAATAAGAATATAAATCGCATGCTATCTTATCTCAACCAGCCTAATGATGAATAGGGACATATATGCATATGCATGGAGCTGTAATTGCACAAAATAGTTCATCCAAAACCCAAATCAAAACATAACTATAAGGAAGATGATGTTCGAGTACATGTACTCCTCGTTCTTTAAGGATAATCTTCGACTATTAGACAGAAAAAAGAAAGAACAAACCTTTATCATTGTCAAGCATTCGATTCTCTCTAGCATGGGTAAAAGATCATAGAACCCTAACAGTGGTGATGATCCTGCAATGAAAGCAAGAAATAGAAACAAACAAGATCTTATGTTCGTCATTTTGTTACATTTTTAATTAGTTTTATTCTGCGATTGCAACGAGAAACAAATAGCTAAGAACAAAACGAAATTAAATATCTGCAACACATTTCTGAAACTTCAAGAATAGATCATGAACTGGTCCTTGTGTAGATTTCTGGAAAAGATCTCAGCATTCCTGAGACAGTTCAATTCACTATGATGGGAAAAGGTGGTGCAAGAAAGAAGATCGAAGAATGATTTTGTTCCCCTTTTTCTAGTAAAGAAGAACCCCAAAAAAATCAGTGAGAGAAAATGGATAGGGAAAAAAAAGAAATATTTTTCATGGGAGAGAAAATAGAAAGGAATTAGGGTTCACAATGAGATAGTCTTGTGTCTTCTTCCTATCTCTCGTTCCCACTCTCGCCCTACATCAGATCTGAGATTGGAACGCTCCTGAAATATTAGCACAGGAATACCAGTAAAGCATCAACAGGAATGGCTGAGAGAGGAAACAAGCAAAACGAAGCAAAGCTAGAAGATCCCGTGTGTAATCATTCCTGGAGCGCGGAGGCAAATCGAAACAGCCCATGTAATTCCAACATCCAACGATGACATACGATAGCATCCAAGAAGGGAAGACCTTCCTTCATGCTAACAAAGGAAACGTAAGGTCATGAAACACTAGAAAGCCCAAAAGACCAGTGGAAGGACCGCATATGTTCGATCTTCAACTTTACCTTCCAGTGCATGTTTTGTGTACTTCTATGAGAAGGATCCAAGTGCTCGGTTGCAAGAAAGATATGTCACATGGGTTTTACAAAGAGAAGCTAGCAGAGTTCAGTTGGCAGGATGCCCACCTCCATCCGTATGCTTCTCCTTGTTCGTGAGAGATGGATGTGGCTGGAGGTGGACAGAATGCCAATCACCTCTGCGAGCAACCCTTTGATAAGCCCACATGACACAGAGTAGATCACATGCCACTGCCTCAAGCCGATGATACTTCTCGCCGAGAGAGGAGGATAGATATAGATGGTATTTATACACGGAGAGAGAAAGAGAGAGGGGGAGGGCAAATTTACTACCAAATTAAAGAGGGTGAAAATGAGAGGACTACTGTGGGTGAGGATGGGATTATTCTTCTTGTGACGTACGTAACGACAGACAAGATGAGATGACTGTTCTGTGGCGAGGAAGGATTCAATCATCTATCCCATTCTTTCCTCTCAAACCATCCTTGAGAAACGTGAACGAGATGGTGGGTGGGTGGATGGCTGTGGGAGAGAGAGAGAGAGAGAGAGAGAGAGGGAGAAGATAATAACCAGGGAAATAAAAGAGATCAAAACTTGCCTGCCATCCATCCGCCCTCCTACTGATCCCACTCTTCCCCTCACTCGAAACGCCATTTCTCAACCACCAGAACGGGAACAGAGGCCATCTTCTCGAGCAGATAGGAAAATACCTTAAAGAACAACTACAAACCTAGTGGGGTAGTGCTGATTAATGGAACTGGAACTGACATGGCGATGGACCGCAAAGGAACCACCTGAGGAAGATTTGGTGCGTGGTCTTTGTCACTGAACAAAAAGATAAAAACTCCATTGAATTGGATGGATGAGTGCAATGTGAGGCAGACAACAAAAGCCATCAATTACTCCCATTCTCTCCTCGCTTGCCATAACTTTCCAAAAGTAAAATTATTAACGGTCAAAGAAATGGTTGACTACTGTGGACCTACGACCACCTTAAAAAGAATTCACCGCAATGCTGTCACACTTGCTTCTGCCCCGAAACCAACAACTTCTCTCTCTAAGAAGAACAGGCAATGCAATCTCTTCTCATGATTCTGATGGTTTTCTTTTTTCCTTTCTCGTTATTAGTTGTTTACTCGGCTGATATATCAGACGTGAAGATATTTGTAGGAGGATAGATTATAAAAGACGATAAAGAAAATAGTTCTTCATTGATAAATATCAAAAAAATCAAATAATATATATGTGAGTTTAACCCATAATCTATCCATTTAAGTCGTTTGTAAAAATATAATAATATAATCTGTGATAGCTCTTCAAGACTAAGCCTCTAAATTATTAATAATCATATAAGAAGATTAATTCCTGTTTCTTTGAGTCTACTTTTGTATACTCTTGGCATTGATCACTTCTGTCTTTATCGGACGTCATTAGTTTGTGCATGATATATAAATCAACAATTTCATGAACAAGATGCATTTCTCCTTTTATCCCACCTTGTTTTACCACCATCTATGGGAACGAGAAAAAAGAAAAGCAATAGATACAGTTATCTTCCACTTCAAACCCAGAAGGGTTCACAATCCAGCATCCTTTACCAGTGTGTTGGGAGGAAAGAGGAGGGCATTGAAGAAGGAACAGGAGCCAGCAGCGCAGTCCCTCCTTTCTGTCTTGTGATCTGCCACCATTCATGATGCCCACAACCCCACCCCCACCATCACCTGTCACTAACAATCCTCGGTTGCACACCAGCTCCTTTGCCGGTTTCTCCCCATGCATTTAATCCTCATCAATTCTACCTCACCAACCGATGTCCAACACCATGGAAATGAGAGATTAGACAAAGTGGTGAAGTACAGCACTCCTTGTACCCACTCTTGAAATGGTTTACACCTTCTTCTTCTTCCTTGGCTGACCTTATAAATGTTCTCAGAAAGCGTTAGAGATGAGGCATGTGAATGCACACCTTCAACCTTATACGATGTCTGTGTCCTTGCATGGAACTCAAATGACCACCTGGTGCTCGAGGTCTTCCCACATTAATTTCCCAGCGAAATCCAAGGAATCAGAATACGGATCCAATGTTCTACTTCGGCATGACTCTTCCTCAGCAGTTATATTCACCAAGTGACATGCTCAAACGAAGGCGAAGAATTCTAGCCGGACTTGCATCTGCAGAACGACCAAGCCGTGCATGCCATATCACTTTCTTTGATTGGCGAACCAAACTGGTTGGCTACCTCACCTCAGTCCTGGTGAGTAAATTAGATGGAGACTTACTGATACTTGAACGCATCACCACAATATTAAGCATTTAATTAATGTTTTGATGGCGTCTTAGCCGATAATATAGTTTAATTCATCTGATATCAGTATAGTAACAGAAATTAAACCACAAGACATTCGGCAAGAGAATCAATAAAGTATAAATAGTATCATTTAGTTATATAATCTGACATCAATATAGTCAAATATGATAAATCTAAAAATAAAGTACATCAAATTTATGTAATTATTATAATACTGTATTTTAGTCTCATGGTGCATAAGAAATGATCGTTACTTGTTCCATCCATATTCATATTTTTGCTCTAAGAATAAAAGTATGAAGATGGATTTTATCTAAGATGTGTGTTAAGGATTCAAAAGTTTATCCGTAAAATATTAAATATACGAGCTAATTAGTAAAAAAAACAAGTGTAAATATAATTTAAATCGTTAAATATGTATGTTCATGAGCGGTTAAAATAATGATAGTAGATAATTGAAAAATATTATTGTTTAGTATATAAATATATATTAAAAGAAAAAAAAAACATAAAAATATAGAGAAAAAGGAGGGCACAGAGGAGAGTTCAAAAGTGACGGCCGTAACACCAAATCTTTGATATATAGAGAGAGAGAGAATGAGAAAAGAAGATCAAAAGTGACGGCTGTAACACAAATCTTGGTATAAATGCGGCTTAAAATCACAGTTATGGAAGTGTCAGGTGAGGGGACAACCGGAAATAAGCGTGGTGAGACGCAAAGATTGGTCTGCTGTGTTGGAGGTGGTGACAAGAAAAGGAGCAAAATCTCATGATGAGAATCCCATGGCAATCATATGCACCGCTGACCATCTCTCTCTCTATCTTCTTTCTCTAACCATGGCGCTTCTCGTTAGTTTTTCCCTCCTTTCTTCTGATCGAATTGAAGAAACATGATAAGCTCAGCCAGAAAGTACTACACAGCAAGTGGGTACGTCAGACAGGTGCCGCTGGATGGTATTTATGCCATCCCAATTCCCACCTGCTCCAACTGTTCACCAGTTGACCCTGTGAATGCTGCAGTATGTGGTGGTGTTCCGACTGCATCAAGACTCACCATTCATCGTTCAGTAGGCAGCTTTAGTCTCCATGCCACCCTGCAACGAGATGCATGTATATATATATATATATATGGATCTATCATTGGGACAACTGCTTGGAGATAGGATACGATAGGATGATTTGATGCTTGATCGGCGATGGTGCTTTTACTCCTAAGGAGGCGGGGTTCGATTTGCTGTGATTGGAGTAGCCTGTGCATACGTTTTCCTTTGAGTACTTGAATACCTATGTGGAGCGCAAACATAGCGAGATCCTCACGGACGTACTCCACCTGTGGGATCATATCTACTGCAGAAGATTTCAGAAAGAAGTCTCTCCTTGCTCGCTCTAAGTAGGAACACCAGAGAGACAGAGAGAGAGAGAGAGAGACGCAATTGCTGCAATCAAAGCGCTTCGTTACTCTGTACTGGATTGGAGAATGGAGTCAACAACACGTCGCATGTGAAGTTTGACTTAGTCCTCGTTTTAGCCAACGATATCGGTTGTGTTTATGGCCTCACCCACCAAAACAATGATGTGTTAGCTTAAGAACGTGTCGACCAGTTCTAATATATATATATATATATATATATATATATATATATATATATATATATATATATATATATATATATATATATATATATATATATATAT